TGGGGCTTTGATTAGGTGTAATAAAATAAAATAAAGTTTGATAATCTGGACTTTAATTCCTTTTTAATTTAATGTAAATTTTAAATGGATTTATTGGGATGACACTGGTTAACTAAATTATATAGGTTTCAGGTGCACAATTGTACAACACATCATCTGTACACTGTATTGTGTGTGCACCACCCCAACTCAAGTCTCTCCATCACCATTTATCCCCCCATCACCTCTTCCACCTTCTTCCCCCATCCCCATGGCAATCATCACACTGTTGTTTATGAGGTTTTTTTCTCTTTTTTGCTTTATTCCCCTCCCTCCTCAACACCGCCAGTCTCTATTTTGCTTGCTAGTTCATTTTATTAATTAGATTCCACATATGAGTGAAATCACATGGTATTTGTCTTTTTCTGACTGGCTTATTTCACTTAGCTAATGCTCTCCAGGTCCATCCATGCTACTGTAAAAGGTAAGATTTCCACCCCCTCTTTTTTTATTTTTATATTTTAAAATATATTTCTTCATTGATTTCAGAGAGGAAGGGAGAAGGAGAGAGAGATAGAAACATCAATGGTGAGAGAGAATCATTGATCGGCTGCCTCCTGCACATCCCCTACTGGGGATTGAGCCCCCAACCCAGGCATGTGCCTTTGGCCAGAATCGAACCTGGGACCCTTCAGTCCACAGGCTAACGCTCTATCCACTGAGCCAAGCCGGCCCGGGCTACCCTCCTCCCCCTTTTTAACAACTGATTAGTATTTCATTGTGTAAATGTACCACAGCTATTTCATCCACTCATCTTCTGATGGACACTTGGGCTGTTTCTAGATCTTGGCTATTGTAAGTAAAGCTGCAGTGAGTAAGAGGGCGCATCTAATCTTTCAAATCAGTGTTTTAGGTTTTTTCAGATCAATTCCCAGAGGTGGAGTCTCTGGATCATAAGGCAGTTCCATTTTTAATTTTTTGAGGTAACTCCATACTGCTTTCTACAGTGTCTGCACCAATCAGCATTCCTACCAACAGTGCACTCGGGTTCCCTTTTCTCCACATCCTCGCCAGCACTTGTTGTTTGTGGATTTACTGGTGGTAACCATTCTGACAGGTGTGAGATGATACTGTGGTTTTTTTTATTTCTATGTCTCTGATGATCAATGACATTGAGCATCTTTTCATATGTGTATTGGTCATCTGTATGTCCTCTTTGAAGAAGTGTCTATTCAGGTCCTTTGCCATTTTTAAATTAGATTGTTTGTTTCTTTGGGTGTTGA